CAGCCCCTGTCGGGGACATAGTACATGCTAAACGTAAAATGTTATTGTTTTAAGTTGCTGCAACTTGGGAATGTTGGTTGCCACATTATAACCAAGACTTTCCTAATGGATAAATATTTCTTGAACAAATGCTTATTTTTCCTGGAAACAATGCCTCGCTTAAAAAACTTGCTTTAGTTTCTTTGTACCAATCAGAAATTCAACTCCAAACTCTCCACCAGAAATGTACATCTCAACTTAGATCCTTTATCCTTTTATCTTTTCTTTGGGACCCTCATCCAAGGACTGCCCTCTGGCCTGCTGCACAACTGTCTTCCTGGAGATCCCCTTCCCTTCTACACCGTGGAGCATGAATTCCCTGGTTTCTGAAACTCAAGTTACTTACCTTTGTGAAGTCTATTCTCCCAGCTAATAGATTATATTTCCTAGCCTCCCTCACGATTACTTAGCTCTGCCACTTATTTCTGGCCAGTGAGCTGTAAGCAGTAACGTCGTGTGCCCTTTGGAGCGTGTCCTTAAGTGCGTGGGCTTACCCTTCTGGGTCCTTTCCTACACGGGGGTTTCTCCACCTGGGCATTATCCACATTTTGGAATAATTATTTCTCATGGACACCTGTCCCATGCATTATAATACATTCAGCAGCATCTCCAGCCTCTACCCACCAGATGCCGGCAGAACCCTCTCCCCCAGTTGTGACAACTGGAAGTGTCTTCAGACATTGCCAAATGTCCCCTGGTGGGCAAAATCACCCCGGGTGGGAACCATTATTCTGTGCCAGTGACCGTCAACCTTGAATGTGGTCGGCATCCCCAGGGGAACTTGTGGAAACACAGATGGCTGGGTCTTCTTCCTGGAGTCCCTGATTTAGCAGGTGTGGGACAGGGCTTGACAATTCGCACTTCCATTAAGTTCCCAGGAGGCACTGAAGCTGCTGATCTGGGAACTGCTCTGGGAGCACTGCTGATCTGCGTGACTTTGCTTTGCAGATAAACCTGTCCTTTCTGCACAATAACTGTGATGATAGCATTGAACATGGAAAGCTTGTGACTATAGGCCGGAGTTCTTCAACCTTTCTTTATCTCACAGCACACTTGAACTTATAGTTAAACTTCCGGATCACACTTAGATTATGTTGATGAAAAGAGGAGTGGAAAGAGGATATACCTACAGTGCTCTGGCCTTCTTTTGAAAATAATTTAATTAATGGTCTTTAAAAGTTTTCACGGCACACTGGTGTGGTTGAAAATTGCTGCTAGGCCATCAGGATCATGCTAGACAGTGAAGTTCAGGAGTTCAGAAATCGTGGTATTAGGAGACACTGAAAGGCAGCTGCGAAGTGTGTGGTTTATGGATCAGATGAGATTCAGTTGACATTTCCCCTGACTTTGGTGTTGTTTCTCAATATTACTGAGAGAGATGACCAAAATGAAAATAAATAATCTCAAGAAAAATGGTTAAGAGGATAG